GAAATATATAACATTGTCACAGACAGGCAATATCAAGAACTCTTTGTCTACTTCACTTCAACAATTTGTCCAGCCACACCTCTAAAAATCCCTCAGGCTCAATGTTATAGCAGATTGTGCTTGGTACATTGGTGGTTTTATGTGGTCAGAAAGTATCCAATTAAAATTACCTCTGATCTGGAAACGATAATTCTTATCAATGTAGAATCATTGGTACCAGCCAATCTCATAGCCTTATATAACTTGTAGGCAAAATATTCTGGTCTATTTCTAGCTGAACGAACTGAAACGGGAGAAAAATCAAAAACGTATTCTATATCCATGATGAATGCTAATATTGTGTTCATATGGTAGACAAATAATAACATTGCTTGGTTACATCAAAAAAAATGATGGTTGTGGGTTCTAATATCGGTCAAAGTGTGGTGACACTAGGTAATAAGTAACATTTCCTCATTATTCAAATCTACCCAATTGTAAATGGGTAGGGATAATCAAAGAAAGATCAAGGCCAAGGGTAGCTGATAGATACTTAAGTCTTCTCAGGGATAAGCATCACCATGTGAATGCACAAAAATCCTAATTTATGTTTCACTCTTAGGAAACGGACAGGGGATGTCACATCGCTGGGAGTTGATTTGCATGAGAAATTAACTGAACTAACTCAAAAAGAACCCAAAATAAGCATGATAATAAAGACTAACCTATAGCTTTTAAACCACTTTCAATATTTCCAGACATCTCACTGTCTATAGACTCTAATATATCTTTACCAGCTAACTATAATATAAGATTGTATATTCATATCTCACTGTCTATAGACTCTAAAATATATTTACTGACTAACTATAAGATTTTATATTTATATCTCACTGTCTATAGACTCTAATATATCTTTACCGGCTTACTATAATATAATATTTTATATTTATATCTCACTGTCTATAGACTCTAATATATCTTTACCGGCTTACTATAATATAAGATTTTATATTCATATCTCACTGTCTATAGACTCTAATATATCTTTACCGGCTTACTATAATATAAGATTTTATATTTATATCTCACTGTCTATAGACTCTAATATATCTTTAACGGCTTACTATAATATAATATTTTATATTTATATCTCACTGTCTATAGACTCTAATATATCTTTACCGGCTTACTATAATATAATATTTTATATTTATATCTCACTGTCTATCGACTCTAATATATCTTTACCAGCTAACTATAATATAATATTTTATATTTATATCTCACTGTCTATAGACTCTAATATATCTTTACCGGCTTACTATAATATAATATTTTATATTTATATCTCACTGTCTATAGACTCTAATATATCTTTACCGGCTTACTATAATATAATATTTTATATTTATATCTCACTGTCTATAGACTCTAATATATCTTTACCAGCTAACTATAATATAATATTTTATATTCATATCTCACTGTCTAAAGACTCTAATATATCTTTAACGGCTTACTATAATATAATATTTTATATTTATATCTCACTGTCTATAGACTCTAATATATCTTTACCGGCTTACTATAATATAATATTTTATATTCATATCTCACTGTCTATAGACTCTAATATATCTTTAACGGTTTACTATAATATAATATTTTATATTTATATCTCACTGTCTATAGACTCTAATATATCTTTAACGGCTTACTATAATATAATATTTTATATTTATATCTCACTGTCTATAGACTCTAATATATCTTTACCAGCTAACTATAATATAATATTTTAAATTTATATCTCACTGTCTATAGACTCTAATATATCTTTACCGGCTTACTATAATATAATATTTTATATTTATATCTCACTGTCTATAGACTCTAATATATCTTTACCGGCTTACTATAGTATAATATTTTATATTTATATCTCACTGTCTATAGACTCTAATATATCTTTACCAACTAACTATAATATAAGATTTTATATTCATATCTCACTGTCTATAGACTCTAATATATCTTTAATGGCTTACTATAATATAAGATTTTATATTCATATCTCACTGTCTATAGACTCTAATATATCTTTACCAGCTAACTATAATAAAGAAAAGAAAGTCTTTTACCTTTTGATATTCATCAAATACGGCAGTTAACTGGTAGAAATTCCTTAAAGCTAACACTTCAATAAAGGCTGACTCATCCGTACCAAACTTCTGTTCTCCAGCAGCATACAGTTTCTCGGCATCTTGCTGAGCCTGATCTCTGTCAATTATAGACTCTGCACCATCAGATAAAACACTCTGTATCTGCTCTTCAGTTAGTTCATTTCGATTTGCCTGGAAGTAAAGTAATCTCATTAGTTATATTTAAACATCGACAAAATATACCTACATTTTCAGCATGTTCTGCTCAATGCTAGACTCATTTCAAAGTTGCCCTTCCAGAAAGATCAGATTTTGGTAAACTTTCTAGTATGAAGTCAATGGTATTCATCTGAAAGTAACTTATCTCCTTTTAAAATCAATTTTCAGAATCATTCAGTACCCCTACAATTCAACAAAAATGTAGGCTACTTTAAGTTACACCATCACTTTCAGATCTTCCAATGCTAATTACTGATACATCCAATTTTTCGGGACTGCCTGAAAATGATGGCAACAGTCCAAACTTCTGCAGATTACACTCTCAAATGTTAC